GATTCAAGCCTTTGTCAATGAACTACATTCGTTGCTAGCGCATAACTGTCATTGGCTGCTAGCGACTACCATAGGTTGAAGCTCTTGTAAAACATAATTAGACAAAGCTTTCGAAATTTCATTTTGCTTGGTTGCTACCAGACAATTGCTTAAAAACACTTCTTGGCTCAAGACTGTGGTACTGCATTCCCATTGACTGCTCTCATTTAATCATTTGGGTAAAGCTGACAGTGAAATATTTTTGTTGATTGCTATGAGTCTGTGTCACTGGATAAACACCGCGTCCAGTGGTTAGTTTCTTCTCAAAAACCAAAAACAAAGTCTGGTATTTCGTGTTCATGTGGATATAATTTCAAGCTCTTTGTTTTTAATTCAGATACATCAAAAGAAAACAAATGTGTGAAACACGTGGAGAAAAGGCTAGACCGTCTTAGCAGACGTAAACAAAAAAGAAAAACATTAAAAAAGTAAGACAGAAGACAAAGGTGTCTGCCAGAAGGCATGAGTAAATTATATGAGTGCCGGTTATGTATGTGCTATGAGAGAAAAAAAGAAAAGAAAAAAAAAAGGAAAGGGGAAGGGGGGCGACGGGGTTGATGGGTTAAGTTCACCAATCTGCGCATGCGCGGGCCTTAGAGAGACTGCCGACGGCGCCATCTGCCGAGGCACGAAACAACGTTTTAGGCGCGTGCACCGTGACCAACGCACTCTTGTCTGTACGCGGCGAGAAAGTGCGAGACGTGAGAATGAGTGCTCAAGGCTCTTTTCTTCATAAGCTCTTTCCTGCGCGTCAATCTTCTTTTCTTCTTTTGTCGTTTTTTTTTTTCTGCAGTTTAGAAAGTGAAACCGCCTTTTTGCTTCGACGTCGTGTTCTGGGAGGAGTCGGCGCCCACGCGAATAAAAGGAACAGTTACAAGAAAAAAGAAAAAGAAGTGAGAGATAAGTAAAATATAGGTACAAAAAACATTAAAAAAAAGAGAGATCTCGAACGTGTGCATCGAGTGTGCACGCGCGCGCGCTCATGCCTCGGCCATTTATTCTTTGGCCAGATTTGAGGCACGTTTCTTGGGCTCTTTGTTCCTATACGGCCCGACGTTACCCGGACAAAAAGCTGCTGCGGAAAAGAGCGCGTCTACCGCGTTTCTTCGACTACAACGTGCGCCGGATAAGAAGCCACACGAAAACAATGTAGGGGCCTTTTTAAAGCGGAGCTGTTGAGGGCTAGTTTCCCCAGGAGCGTGTCCCCCGCAAAGAAATGAAGACACCGAACTCTGGACACCTACCGCCATCTATGAGCGACGGCGGCAAGCCGCGCATATGGTTGCCGCCGTCGCTCATAGATGGCGGCAGCCTTTCCACTCTGGCTTGCCGACTTGCGGCCGGCCATTACTTTCCATTGTACAGCTCCGCTGGTCTTAAATGTGAACCGCCCGCGCGCCTTTGCTGCTAACGTCGTTCTGACCGCGTAACGTGACACACAGTGTCAGGGGAGGTCTGTTTCCCCCCGCTGAGTTTAGCGGGGAAATTGACGTCAAAGATTCAACTCGTGGTGTCATGTGATATACCATGACGTCAGGTGACATGACGTCAATTTTCCCGCTAAATGTAGCGGGAAAATAATGGTGTCACACGACGTGACGTTACGGCGTTATGTGACGTCAGTCGGACACGTGACATCATGACATTACGTGACGTCACAGTCTAAGGTGACACGACGTCACGGTACCACGTGACCTGAGATCACAAGACGCGGGTAGATCGGCGCCGCTTTACCCGCTAAATTTAGGGGGGAAGCCACGGAGATCACGTTAGGTTTTGGTGCACGTAACGTCGTAGCATTATGCGAGGTCGCAGTACCAGGTGACGTGACGTCACAATCTTCCGGCTAAATTTAGCGGGGAAATGTATCCGCTAGATTTTGATAGAAACTGCGCGTCGTTGAAAACCTAATCAAGTGCTGTCACATCTTCTTTGCCATGGAATTTCTAAGCCAGGCAATCTAAACAACAAGGTCTTACAGCTCGCGGCCTTTGCCAGGAGATCTCAAACAAGAAAACTCCTCAAGGGCTACTTTTTGTTTGCATCTAGTGAGACAAGCTCCGAAAGAACAAAGGCACTTTTCGAAAAAGAGATACCCTGGGTCGCTCAGTGAGTCTGAAACGATCCAGTCAATGGATGATTGTCGGAATATACTATATAAAATAGAGCTGGGTCCTTTTGTCAGAATAATCATACCTTAAAGATCGTGACGCCTAGTAATAGTCTGGCAAGGCGTGGCTGTTCACAGTTACAGCGCATTTTTCTCGCTCCCAGAGCATATGACACGCCACTGGGTGATAGATACCCTTAGCGCTCCAGGATTGATCGTTATTACATTCAAATTTGACCCATGATTATTCCTACGCTATAAAGCGGAAAGTTACTCCGCCGTTTTTGTTGGCCAGTACGCAACTAAACTGCCATTTCCTGGGACATGTCTACACTTGGACATGACGAACTCAAGACCCTTCCTTCCATCCAGCGCCCAAACATGTTAGCAGTGACTTTGATGACTCTAACGCGTCATTTTTTGCAAAATGTAACTTGTATACTGTAGGAGTAAATGAGTAAAATCTAGCCATTCCTTACACTTTCCAAAGGATGTGTTCCGACATTTCGAGAGTCATGATGTTCGTCCTGCGTCCACTTGGAAATATGTGATTTCTCACGAGTCGCGACGCAGCTATAGGGTCACCCGTGAATGGGAAACGAAAGACCTATATATGCCTTTGCGCATGCGCGCTTGGTCTTTGTGACTGAAGGCCTACATGTAGATCGCTCTATATTTGCTGCCGTTTTTTTATTGTTTCATGGCAATCCCTTTTTGGACGTATCAGCCGTGAAACGACGCAGTGACCCATCTTGATATTTGTGTGTTAGAGAAAAGTAACTAAACAGTTTAGAAAGTGAACGCGTTGGTGGAATTACACGCAACCGAAAGAATAAACGCGTCGTCGTATCCGTCCCTTATTCCTTCAGTGACGTCCAACTAAACCGCAACGCCGATACTTCTTAAAAGTAACTGTAACTGTAATGAGTTACATTTCGTTGCGGTAAATAGAAGGGTAACTTCGCTACCTTTTTTTTAAGGTATCTGTAACCGCAACGAATAATTTCTTTAAATTAATTCCTTACGATGGGGCAATTCGTTACCCAATTGTAACGGATTGTCTGGGTTCATTTGTTACGCAAGACGGGTCTGTGAGCCAAAAATAACTAAATCTTTTGAGTTCTGATTTTTGTTTTTTTACATCAACCTCGAACTCGAACATCACATTCGCAAATTTTGACTTGAGCCGCAGAAGCAAAGAGGTTCCTCGATATTCTTCGGCAATAGCGAACTCCCTCGATTGTTCACAACATTATATGCTGCGCTAAACTGACACTCGCTCGGCATTGAAGTCCTCCACTTGTTTGGAGTAACAAATTTGGCCTTTGCAGTTTACTCTAGGTGAAAATTTCGCCTAAGGTTTGCCTTCATACAAGTGTACTCGTCCACGACTGCGGAGGAAAAACGTTATTTTTTTTATTTTTTTATTGTTAGTCGAAATTAACTGATCAACCGGTTAGCAAGAGTAATCGCGATTCCAGCTTTAATTGATTAATCGGTATGTTAATCGATGAAGTGCCTATCCCTAATTTTCGTACGATCTGAAGCTGCCAGTTTACAAGGTTGCCAGCAGGGAGCATACCACCAACACTCGTTTCTTCCTCGTACTCGTGCCTCTTGTCTCTTCACCCGGAGGACGGTCTGGCGCTAACCTCTTGGGGGCCTTCCTTCACCGTCGCTTTAATAGGCCATTAATTACCCTCCATGCAGAGGCCAAAAGCCTACACCAGCTCCCCTTCGCTGCATTGGTAGTCGTCGCCACGCACGGCACGGTCAAGGTTCAGATGCCGCGCAAACGTAGCCGTTATTCAATCATTCCCGTCTTCTTCCAACATGGCGTGTGTCCACGCAGCGGCGAGACCTTCACTTCTCCCTGACCTCCAAGATGACGACTCACTGTCAGCCAAGTTTACGGACCGTCAACGCTTCTTAACTTTTTGCTCGGCCAATTATTTTTATTTATTTTTTACGAGATGCAGCGCGGATGTTATGGCAGCAACTGTACACGGTCAAAGTAAGTACGAAATTAGTTAAGCCCTCGAAGAGTGTGCAAGCGCAAAGTGCTATATGTGTTTGGAGAGGTGCCTGAACCGTCATTCTTATTATAGGCGGAGAGAGAGAGAGCACGTGCCCCAGTGTGAGAAATAAATCATAGGCTGCCGTGCGTCTTGACCGTGCGATTACTTGAGGCGCGTTAAAGATTCCCGGTCAGTGGTACTGCATTAGCCTCCGCAAAATACTGTTAGGAACTTGCACGAAGCTTTCCGGCTAACACGTGTAGCGAGAGAGATCCACCTATTCACAACGCACTCCACCCAGTCTCAGATGGTTCAAGAAAATGTGGCAGATGCAGCTTTTCGGGACTTGTAGAATGAACACTGCAGCTGTATACCGTCCTCAACGATTATTCGATAGATCGCTTGATTGGAAGAAGTTCCCAGGTGCCACACCAGAGGCGCTTTTGGCGGTCGAGCGTCTCAATAACTAAATCATTTTGCAGGGCCAAATACGAGAAACCCTGCACGAATAAAAATGACGCAGAGGCGGTAGATTTCTGTTCCGGACACGCCATGCCAAGCGATGACGCTTGTGGACGCGACGATTATCTGGTCACCGCGTTTACTAGCTTGTACTGTATTTGATGTAAACGTAAAAAAATAAATACTGCAACCAGAGCGACAACAACAAAAAAAGTCAAATTATGTACGTTCAAAATGTTCAAAGTAAGTTCCGTTTTGTAAGAATAAAGAAAAAAACATGGAACGTAAAACCTCCGTAGGAGTTGTGCTTAGGTCTGTACACCTGTTTAGGAGGTGGTGGGTGAACTAGAGAGTATAGAAGATGCTCGTACCATGGGTGTACGCGGCGTTGACGTTCCCCTGGAGGGCGTGCTTGGCCTCGTTGCCGCCCTGGCTGTTGTGGCAGGGCGCCGACCCCGGTGCCAGGCCCTGCTGCTGGGGCTGGTCGGACTGGGGGAGCCCCTGGTCCTGAGAGCCCATGACCGTGGCTCCAGGGGCTCCAGGACAGGGCGCGCCAGTGCCGGACACCACGCCGGAATGCCCGTGTCCGCTGGAAACACGAAGGGGACCCCGTCGGAACGGTACGCGCCGATAAGGATGCCGATGATGATAGGTGTTTAGTTTAGCTGTGCTGGAAGTAACGCGTTAGAAAGAACGACGTTACAGCTAACGTGGTGTTTTTCAGTAACGCCCCGATGCACTCATTTTATTTTTGAAATGACTAACGAGTAAAGCATTTCGTCACTGTTTTACGGTAGCGTCTACAATACTACGTTAATAGTTATTTCTTACTTCTAATTAGTTTATCTTAGCTTAATAGAAGTTAATCCGATTTCTGTAAACAGCTGCGGAATGATAAAACATTTCCTTTTTCGCGGCATCATTTCGAAATGCTTCAGTGGGAAAGCGAAGTCGAATCAATCATAATTAAAGATATATAATACAATTTCCAAATCTGGTTAAAAGGAAACCATTGTAAACATGAAATTGCTCTCTAAAGTCTGGTCGTTGTAGAAGTTCGTATTCCCGGCTTATCGTTGCCATTTATAAATTCTAAAGTAACGTAAAGGGAACGTTCGTTAGGTTTTGGAAGTAACGGTAATGGTAGTTCTTATATTTGGTGGACGGTAATGAATCACAGTAACGCGTTGATTCTCGAGCGAGGACCTGGTAACGGGAACAACGCTGCTTTTCTAGTAAAGCTAGAGTTAGAATGATAATAATAATAAAAAAATACACACGGGCCACTACCCGAATGCTTGTCGAGCTCCTAGGAAGGCCTCCAGGAGCAAGGTCTTCAGCAGTAAGGCTTTAAGAGGCAAGGCCTCTAAGAAAAAGAGGAAGGTTTTTCGGGGTAAAGCTTCCAGGAGGAAGGCATCAGGAAGGAAGACATTTATAAGGAACTTCTTCTGGATGCCTTCCTCCTGGAATCTTCTGGAAGGCATCCTTCTGGGACGCCTTTCAAGAGTCAGAGCCTACCCATGAGTCCTGGACTGGGGTTGTTGTTGTTGCTGCTGCTGCGGTTGCTGCTGATTGTGCGAGCCCTGCTGCACGGGAGGCTGCGCATGTCCGGCCTCGCTAACGTGGAGGCGGTTGCGCAGCGTCACCAGTTCGGTGCTCAGGCTCTTGAGTCGCTGCTGCAGGTGCACCGCCTCGTTGGACGACGACGCATCTGCGCAGGGTGGAGGGAAGACAGCACTCTTAGAAACGAGGGAGTTACACTTTACTCAGACAAGAGTGTATAAAGAAAATTGGCTCTCCCCTTCCTCGTTTGATGCTTGTTCCTCCCCGCTAATATCAGTTTATAATAAAGGCCAGAAAGGAGCCAGCGTCAGATAAACTGCAGAGCTTCAACAGACCATTTTCCAATAAGCACTACACTTTGTGATAAAGAAATCATACTTTATATTATAAGCGACTCGCTGGGGCTCAATTGCTATCAAACAGCATGAACCAGTGTCGCCACAACCCAAGGACAAATCAACTCTTGTCGTCTAAACATCCACTCACTTTTTTTTAGCAATGCTAGAGAAGCACTGACAGGTGAAAATAATTTTTTTTTGATTATCCGAAGCGATTGGAAACGATGCCGGGACACTACCCACAAAATTCGAAACTTGTGAACTCAATACTTGTAAAGTAAAAAAAAAAAAAATCTTGAAGCCAGAAATTGAAGTTCCCGCGCGATCCGCGCCAGTGTAGTGACGTCACAGATTGAGTCGTCCTGCAACTCGAGGTTTTCTTACGCCTCCGAACAGTCCAGACCCACAAGGTGTCGAGTTCGCCCGCGCCTCGCGATACGCTCTTCTCAGTGCCTGCCGCCTATCGCTGTGAAAAGACGACGCTTCACTTTCGAGTTTGAAGTTCCTTTTTAGGGCCCTTTCAGGATCTCACATTCTTTGAAACGGTGCGAGATCGAAGAGAACGCGCAGTGAACTTTTGGGAGCTACGGGGGGCCCACGTTGCGCCGGTTCTGTGTGAAAGGGTGTTCCGGCGGAGTCACAACCGAAACTACGGTACACATACATTAAACCCAGTTGTTTTGACCGTTTGACGATTTACTTTTCGAAAAATACGACATTTAGGGTGTCAGTGCCTCTTTAAGCTGTGCAACTATGAGTCAAGTTCTTCATAATGCCAAATCCACAGGCCGAGAGAGGTGCGATTTCAGGCCGCTGCGCAGTAAAATAACTGCTCAAAGCCGATCATTTAATCTAATACTTGCTACGCCATCTGCTTTGAGTCCCGGCAAACCTGGATCTCTATATGAACGTGGGAGCGTGTTGGTTTTTAAACAAAACGACAGAAAGAGTAACAAACTTTAGACGAAGGGACAACGGACACTTCTTCTTTCAGTTCTGAAGGAAGAATTGTCAGTCGTGTGTTATTCTTTCTGCCATTTTTCTCTGGATTTCAATTAACTGCAGAGAATCTTGCAATCTCCAATCTTGGACTATGCCAGGGAATCCAATCTTGCAATCCAATCTTGCACCGTGACTATGCAGATATACCGCCGAAATTGTCGTTGGGAATCGATGATCCTGGCCATGACGTCAATGACAGAGAGAGAGCCACCGGAACATCTCGTCGCCAATGGCGGTTCCCGACGAACCTTCGCGGATATTAATGGCGCAGGCCACGTGACAGCTTGTGAGCGAGGAAAAGGCTCGGCGAACCGAAAGCCCGGTGGCATAAAGTCGCGGGGCCACACCATGTACCCCAGGACGGGGCCAAGGTCAGTGCTGCAGACTCAAGCGTGCCACCTGAAGACTGAACCACGCCCCGTATACCGCTAGGGCGTCGTTGAACACACCGCAGCAAACTTTTCTTTTTTGCTTCCCGTGTGTTGTATACGCTCACCAGACCGCTCGCCTAGCAATCAATTTCGCCCATCTCGGGTTAAGAGGGAGAGATTGGTCATTGTAGCCGCGAGGAACCGTTGCCGCTTATCCTTGAGCGGCAAGGTTCCTTTCATCGGACGTAGATAGTGCCCACGTAGGAGGGCAAGCAAAAATGGGCGTGGGAGGAAGGGTGGGTGATGCATTGTCTTGACCCCACCTTGTCCTTTTTACCTTGTCTTTACGCAGCCACGATGGCCGAGACCGCGTCATACAATAGGAGCTTTATTGCCTGGGCAAGAAACGATAGTAGTAAGGACCATGGGGCGATCAATGTCTCTGGAGATAATTTCTGCGGGCGCCGAAGAAGATCGCTTTTCGAACACAACATCGGTCACCAATCTTAAGTGTGCCAAGGAATTCCGATAGCTTTGTCAGTCGATAAAGGTATGCAACTTTGATCGACCTATCGATAAATTACGCGCGCACCATATCTTTACGGTACAAATCTGCACTATTAGCGCTCAATTTAGACGCTGTCGTTATAAGGTTCAGGAATATAAGTTTCAGTTCAGTGTTTTAGTATGGGCCGCCAGCACTAAGGTTTCACGACACCGGCTGCGCCACGTTGCGGCAAATTAGGAACCACCTCCAGAGTGCAAACGAGCGAGTCTGCGGCTCATTTTGTTTTCAATAAAACAACCGCGTGGCTCGATGCTTTATGAGACTGGTTGCGCCGTGGAGCGATGCATTGATTACCGCCTCAAGAGTGCAACAACGTGGCGGAAGACGACGCTGTCATGCAATTACCGCACTATTCTCGTATTCTATTTCGTCACAGCATTTCGTCTACTCCTTCAATAGTTAAACCAGGCTCAATAGGACAATCTTTTTACGAACATAATTTTTTTTTTATAGCACAAATACGATGCACAATTTGAGCACAACCTAACAAGTGAAAATTTCGTGCCCCAAAACTAAGCTATTTGACTCCACGAAGCTTCGGAGGCCCCTCTGACTCCGCACGTTTGAACGCTATTACCGACCGTTGTTCAGCCAAGCTAATCGAAAGTGACAGCAGCACTTAGTGCAACCTATAATGCGAATGCGACACTTACGTTCCACTCCTCGGGCCGCCGTATAGAGACAAAACCCCACAAAAAACAAAACAAAACAGCAACAAAAAACCAAGAAAGGAATTCATTAATATGCTCAGCGCGAACATCAGAATAGGTCGACCGAGCATTAATCATCCTTAACGACTCGCGCACCCGAGGGGTCAGGTAACGCTCACAAAGGAGCAACCGCACGAGGCTTTCTCGAGAAACAAAGCGTCCCAATTACACGAGGAAGCGTTTCCACTCGATCCCGTGTGTGCATACTTACACAAGCTGGTCTTCCGGCGCAGGGCGACGCGCTGGGAACAATAGTACTTCTGCGGCTGGCTGGCCGCGATGGAATGCCGCCATAGCAGAGGCATCGTGGGATGACCCGCCCACTCACGATCGGCTCTCGCGAATTCACCCCGGTCAACACGCTTTCGTCATCGATGCCGCGGCAGTTCGATCGGAATGTTTCTGGAGTATGGGGTTTGTTTGAAGACTCGGGTCACAGGATCTTTTTTTGGCACGTGATGAACCGTGGACTGATTTCAGAATGTTCGTCGGACAATAATGACGGTCACCATTGTTTGGACACCAAGCGTCTGATTGGATCTGAGTCTTCGCCGAACGACGACTCAGCACTCGTTTTCTATACGAACTGAGCCGAGTTCAAGCCGAATGATGACGCAACGCTCGCGTCCAATGCAAGCTCAGAGAACGTTCCCAAACAACGGCGGATTCGCCGTTGTTTGCTACGCAGGTCTTGTAGAGCCCTCTGGCGAGGTGAAGAACTGAAGACGTTACTGGATAGCCTACAGACAACAGCGATAAACAACTAGTTTGTTCACCGCTTTTGAGGATCAGTGGATCGACTGACTGGAAGCTTACTCTATTTGGAAGACAGAACTTATTCCTGGGCTAGCAAGGGCCTAATCCTGGGGGACATCATGCAGGGAACACGAGAGGTCCGAAGATGGGCCAGGTACAAAGGTATGGTGGTCTCGTGATGACCAAATAGAATTATCGGTAGAGGCAAAGAAAAGAAATCTGAGAATGAGAACACAAGCGGCAAGCGAAGCACAAGGGCTCGTTCGCAATACTGA